ATAATTTAAAATCAAAGATACAAAAGAAGGAAATGATAAAACTGATGATGTACCGGTATTTCTTTTATATTTTAGCTTCAATGAATATTTACCTAGCTGTTTTTGTCGGATTACTTACAGTTTTAGTACTACTTTTGTTTGGGTATATAATTTGGACTAAGAGAACAGTATAAACTACCTCCAACGACAGAGAAATACCAGCGAGAACATAGTATTTTTGTTAATAATTAGTTTGTTCATGAGGTTAACTTTTACCTAGATAATGTGTACGATTTGCAAAGTTTAATATAGTAAAGCTGATATTTTCTTACAAATTACATGTCATCTCTGTTTATTTAATCCAAAGTAAATCTTTAAAAATTTAAACTTATGCTTATGATTTATATATGTTTACGCCAATAACAAAGGGACGATTCAAATTTTTAGTTTACGGCAAATGAAGCTATATTTATATCGGGTAAATTCGAATTGCTGTGATTGTATGAGTAGTGTATGTTATAATATATAAAAAATTTAAAAGATGGCACAATAAAATGTGGACCGTTTAACAATATGAGCTAAATTAATTTTGTAAAATATTAAAGGTTAATAAATAAATTTTGTCACGCAAAGGAGAATTCTTCTACATCTCGGGTTTCATTTGTAAATAACGTAAACACATTTCAACATAGTTGCCTTATCGGAACTTACATGTATTTGTTAAATAGTTAATTAAAGCATAACTGAATATGTATTACTAGAACACACTCTACAGTTATTAAGACTAACGCTTCTACATCAAACCGTAACATATGATTTGGCAATGTATAAGGTAAAGTTTTTTACTATTTACTATTTATGACGTCCTTACACTTAATCCATTTGATGTGTGATGACTGATATTTTGTCTTGGTTACACGATTTTGTAGTCTTTGTTATTTGTTGAACTAACCTTTGCTTATAAAATCTATCTGTTTTACACCAAGTACAAAAGTAAAATTAGGATGCACATTTGTTGGACTGTAAAGATATAGTATACTGTTAAACTCAGGTATATTCGAATTGCTTCTCATCGAAATGAGAATATGATAGGATAAAATATGGAGCGTGAAAAAAAAGCCTAAGTGAGTATTGTAATTAAATTAAAAAAAAAAATCAATCATGTAACGAAAAGTAGAAATCGCATACATCTCCAGTTTAATTTTTAATGAAGTAACCTTATGACAACATCGTTGTTAAATGAAATCTAATTGTGAGTTAACTTTTTTAATAAATGAATCGTGACTGAATATTTAATGCTAAACAGAAACTACCACACTGGGCTCTCATTCTATCGATACGTATATTTTAGCATTGCTAATAGTGGACTGCTAGTCCATAAATATATCAATATCCCAGTATATCGGTTCCTGCATAAAAGTACTGGAAATTTGCGACATAGGAGGTATGTTAACTGCTTTTATGTAGACACTAAAATCAAAAACAAAATAGCAAACTAACACATTGGCTAATCTTTCACATTTATGTTGATCTTATTAATATAACGAATGTAAGATGGACATGCTAATGCACAAAGGTCACGTGTGATGTTGAAATTTACATAATTGGACCTTAAATTACCATTTTACACATAGTGTTTAAGTATGAAATATAATAGTTTAGTTTTTAACATTTAAAAACACTACAATAACTAAACGTACAGTGACACTAGACATTTATTTTCAGTTTTATACACTTTTATACAAGAAAGAAACCAAATTAATATATATATATGATATAAACAGTGTCCTCTACAAAATAACTGAGTGGAAGCGTTGATTTGTAAACATTTTACTCTATTGAGTTTTTGCTTTTAATTATGGGACTCATTCTACTTGCATATGCATTAAAAAAATAGGAAATACTTGTAAATAAAAAAAAAAAAAAAAAAAAAGTTTAACAATTGAGCTCTGAGTAAACTAATCAAATTTGCAATACAATATTGCTAAAACAATCTTGACAAAACACTCGTTTCAATGAAAATGTTAATGTCTGTATCGGACAAAATTTCGTATGTTTCTGTATTTTCAAAAAAGCGCTTATCCCCGTAAGCAAATAAAGTACACATTAATATTTCTAATATCGGAAAGAAATGTGTATTGAAGGTACAATCACCTGCTAGGTCAATGAACATTCGCTTTGCTAAATTCATAAAGTCATTGCATGTCTATTTCATTTTGTATCTGGTTATTATTGTATATATAACCAAAATATACATGATACAATGTAAAAATAGATCTATATGAATACAAGTGAACAGCGGGCTTATTCATTTGACGACGATGCCTTTAAAGTACAACTTTAAAAGACAATCATGTAGAACGTATATCGGGCAGTATTTACCGAAAAAAAGGCATCATGACCATGCAAAATGATTGCATACAAACTGTGTTTTAGTACGTTCGACTCCTTGCTATGTCAAACCATATTCTGAACATTTGTTATTTGCTGCTCCTACTCTAAGCTTACCGTCGGATTGATGTTGAAATAGTGTGTCAAAGTGTAATTATATGTATCAATGTAGACTGATGTGATGTGATGCTAACACGTAAATACTCGGCTCAGCCTTTCGGTTTATTACAAAACATTATTAATATCCATGGCTTATTAACATGTATAAGTTTTGATATGCTTGAAACATTCGGCACTGGTTGTTCCACACAAAAGCATATTGGCCGTATAATCACCATCTTTACATTACACAGAACTATATATAGCAGTCTGCAACACACATCTAGTGAGAGCAGAGTATCGCAGCAAGATTTTAAACATCAAATTAAGAGACAAATTGTTATGTAAGACTAATATATATTTTGATTTAAAATATTTGCTGTTTTTTTTAACGTATTTTTGGCTAAAAATGCGAAAATGATATAATAGTTTCAGTGTTTTCTCTGTATATATTATAGTTATTAAACATTACGAAGCATATGGGCAATCACTCCTATAAAGTAAACTTGTTTGAAGATCTTATCTTACTGGTCACGTTTGTAATTTTAAGGTTCACTAAATCTCTTATAGTTTTCAAGGAAATAGGCAAAACAATTTATCAAAAATCTTTATTTAAAATTAATAACTCCTATAAGAAGTCGTCAGACTGATTTGGTGAAATAGACAGTACGTGGAGTTCAACATTCCTAACATCCTTTTCAATTTTTGTCAATTTAAAGTGGTTTTCAAGATAATAGACAGAACCTGCGTTCTATTTTAGCAATGTTGGTTGGAAAGCTGGATTACCATATATATATATGTTCATAAACTAAATATCCAAATGATGAGATGACTTGTTTAAAGATTTAACAGATGACGACAACGGACGACAAGTTATCGCAATATCCTACAAGACTCTTTGGCGAAGTTCATGAATGATGGCAGGCCTCCTAAAATATGAAGGCATGGGATTGTGTTAATATGAAATCAGGAGATGTGGTATAATTGCCAATTAGACACATATCCACAAGAGACATACTAAATGAGAACTTCTGTTTTAACTGTTTTACACTAGTCATTTTGGGGCCCTGTATATCTTGCTGTTCGGTGTGAACCAATGCTCCATGTTGAAGGCCGTACTTTGACCTACAATTATAAGTTTTTATACATTGTGACATGGATGGAGAGTTGTCTCGTTGGCACTCATACCACATCTTCTTATTTATATTCAACAATGCACACAACCTATAGCGCAAAGTAAGTTTGAAGGAATCCCAACTTGACAAAATGTGAAATAATTCAGTGGAGCAAACAACCGACCTGCGTAATTATTTGAATTAGTAGAATTAAGGGTATTGCATAAGGTCATATTTTTCTTTGACTGTTATTGACGTCTTTACACTAAATCTCTTGGAAGTTGGATGTGTACTGAATAATATTTGAGTTTTAGACATGTTAGATACATGATTTTGTAATTAAATATATATTTGCTATTGGCTTTAAACTATACTTTAGTAACTACAAGCACTCTCAGATTTGTACTGTGTATGTTTGTAGTTGTTTTTGTTCTTTGTATCGATCTACTGAGGTGAGCCCTTTTCATCTGATTTTTATAGTTTGTTCTTGTGTTGTGCTGTTACACAACTTCCACAGGTTAGGGGAGGGTTAGCGTGTCCGCAAACATTTTTAACCCCGCCAGATTCTGTATGTGCTTGTTCCAAGTCAGAAGCCTGTAATTTAGTGGTTGTCGTTCGTTGGCATTTATCATATTTGGTTTTGGTTCATTGTTTTGTAAATTAATCAGGCCGTTAATTTTTTCATTTGAATTGTCTTACATTTGTCATTTTTGAGCCGTTAATAGCTTACTATGCGGTATGGGTTTTGCCCTTGTGTAAAATGCCGTTTAGTAATCGTCTACATCATTTGATTACTAGTGGCGGGTAGTCTCATTTACAATTCTACTACTCTTCTTTTTATTATAAATGATGCTTATCACAGATGCTTATCACAGATGCTTATCACTGCCGGTTTTTAGTTGGGTTCGTGTTGACCAGTCTTTCGATTATTATTGTTGTGTTTTGTAGGATATTTGTCTTTTCTTCGGTTTTCGTTCTTTCGTCATTATGACATTTTTTTCAGTTTGTCTTAAACATATGAATTTGAATATCCCTTTGGTATATTCTGTCTATCTTTAATGGTAATTGTTTGATCAAAACGAATATAACGATACCGATCTCTTTTTGTTCTACAATTATGATATCCTGGACAACCATATTTAGAATTATTGATAATTGCTTTAGTGCTAGCGTTGGAGAATACAAATAAGGACTAGGTTTATGAATTATGGATGGAAGTGACGTGGTACTTTTTTCTCCAAATAAGAGACCTCACAGTGACTTTGAGAAGGAGCCTACATCAATAAAAGCGCCATTCCTTTACTTTTGGTTTTTCCGTGTACTTGTAGGAATTTTGTGTCATAAATTTATAATCCATATCTTTGTTTTCAATTATGTGCTTTGGGTCGGTATGAAATAAAAAAATAAATTATTGCATTGCTTTGCATTGCTTTGTTTTATTGGCAATACTATACCCATTGAATTAATAAAGAGCTGAAGACTCAACACATTCTAATCTTAATATATTAAACAAACATGTTGTTCATGCATCATGTAACGGTTTATTCTAATGTCGCGTTTGTTCCGGGTACACAGTTATCGTCCTTTGATTTTCGTTGTCCACGAATATAGTCCCTAGTGTGGACAGTGTGTTACTTGTCGATTTTTTTTATACCCCTTCCAAATTTTTTTCTCCATGTTTTATGACTCAAATAGTAAGTAGGGGGGGGGGGGGGGGGTGAAATGACACTGTAAAAAAATTTGGGTCATGAATTTTAAAGTTAAGTAGTGATTTGGTCCAGCTGAAAAATGTAAAAAATTAGCACTTCGGAAGCTGTCAAAAGATTTGAAGACCCCCTTAACATGAAATTGTCCATATTTTGAGTTAGAGCCGACTAAGTTTTCTATAATTTTGATATAATTTGTTCCAAAAGTAGTACAACACACTGTAAAAATATTATTGAGAAAGCGCAGGTGGGATATTTTTAATTTTCATTTATTGTCTAAAAGAAATGCACAACGAAATAACTGTGTACTCGGACCGTTTGGTTTGAAGATTGTTAATAGAAGGGACGGCGATTTTCCTTATATTGATAGTTTTACGGCCTTTTACATTACACACGTAGACGGTGAACTAATTGTGTAGGATACATTTGTGCTCACGATAAAAAAATGTCCATAATATAGCAAAAATTAATTTCACTCGAAAATATCTCGTTTCACGGTAATAAAAATACAAATAATAAAAACAGTAATTATAAACAAAAATAATAGCAAATGTACTTCGACCAATGCAAGGAATCGTTAATACTGTAAACGGTTTTATGTTTTGACTATACAAAACGAAAAACATGTTTATTGTTTTCACTTACGGAGCACACACCAACCATTTCAAATTACCAGTTCGAATAGACAACCAATAGCAAACAGATGTCAACCATAGCCCGCTACGGACTTACCAAAATGATAAAGCATAGAACATAAAACAATTAATAAAAAATATATACACTTTGTCAGTCAATTCTTGGGTCCTCATGGTATGTTTTCAAGCAAGAAGTCTAGGGTCCACGCGTCTTTTCCTCACGAGGTGATATTTAACAAGATGTCACATGCCATATACAGCAATAAACTTGTCATCGCGATATACTTTCAAACTAAAGGCCTATACATTGCGTCTGGTCATCACGAGATGCTATCAAACGAGAGGGTACATGGCGTAAGAAGCTATGCCGCATTGGTTGTCTTTGTTCCTCGACATTTTGATATATCCATCTAATCCCCAGCTTTCACTCCAACTGAAAATATATATACACAATAAATAATTTGTTTTCCATGAGATATTGTGGCATGGTATTAATCTATATCTTATATTTACATATATATAAATTGTTACAAATTTGTTAATCAATTTCATCCATCACTCAGTTAATTCAATCTTATTTTGCATATTAAAAGTGTTTTTTTTTATTCCATTCATTCAAAAAAAATTCTTATTTTTTTTTAACTAAAATTTCGTCATACCTGTTCTTTACCAACCAATAGTCCTGTTCATTCTGTACACCATATCCCACAATTAAAACTGCATGGTCAATGAAAGAGGTATTGCAGGCTGGTTCGTCAAACACTCCTGCAATATATGTAAACAGCGACCTTAGTGACCGTTCATGAACTATTTTAAATGAATTAAATAACCAGCTATAAACATGGAGTATTGGTCAATGAGACAGCAACCGTTCAAAACGAGACAACTAGAGGTAACATACAATTTGTACAAATAGACACAACTGTCAAACAAAAACAAACAGACAAAAAAAAAAACAACAAAAAAAAACCCACATACAAATGAAAACAAACAAACAAAAACAACAAAAAAGAAGGCAACCAATACGATAAATGTAACTTTTGAGGAGACCGACATTTTCAGCGGAATACCATGTTGTAGGGTTAAACTTGTCTTGCTTTATGTATCATGCATCGATCATTTGAATAACAATAGATGCATATTTTTACAGACACTAACACACGTCTATAGTACAGGTATAAATAAAATCAAATACACAAGTAAAAGAAGAACTATAATAGACTATACTGTATCACTCACATTATTGTAAGCAAGCTTAAAGAGCTTAAAAGGTTAATATAGTTCATGTCATCCTATACTGTAATATCGGTAACTGTACTTCATGATTTAAGGTCAGAATATACCAACCAGGCCCTTGAAAAAACTCTAAAATCACTTAAATTTTAAGTGTTTGCGTTTTTTGTTCACTGTCCACTCGAATTTGTATTCTAACAAGGAACTTACCTCTCTCATAAAGCTGAAATTTTCTGTCAGCATCAATAGCTACTGATATCGGACCGACTGTTGCTACGGCAGATTTTAAAGCCTGTTCATCCCCTTGCGGGATTTTAGTATAACCTGTGTCTGTAGCTCCGACTTCGGACTCTTGAAATCTACAGGTCCCATTCTAACAGTTATACGAAGAAATAATGAATTGAATTTTCTGACATTCTTTTAAGGCTTGATAATACGGTTCATAGTGCGCTATGCTTTACAGCCTCCTATATGTTTCATTATATATTCATAAAATGTGTACATTAATAGATTCATACACGAAGATGCGCATATTGGAAATATACTCCGTTGACAAACCACTGAGTTATGTTCAGTTTTATTCCTGATATTCTGGACACTGATGAAGTATCACCTTCACTTCAATAATATTAATATATCAAAAAATAGATATGAGGACTAAAAAAACGTGAACGTAGGGTACAGGTAATGGTCCTGCTTTCTAGTTAACAAGCTATTGTCTGTTGTTACGTTTCTCTATATCGCATTTGATAAAATGAACAAAATATTTTACTAGGTTGTATACTATTGCTTGTAATTTTCTTAAAGACAAACTCAATTTCCTGTTCGCTAGCAAGTTGTTTTTGAAGGGACCAGATTTAAAGAAAAAAGACAAGAATAACACAGTAAGCACATAATTGTGTTGACCTTAAATAAATTTGGTTTTATGTAAGTCATTTTTTTATCAAACAGCTCTTCAACTGTTTCGGTTCTTATATACATCCTTGGCTTTTATAAATATTATATAAATGCGCATGCAATTTATAAAGAGTCGTGTTCATTATTTTGTCATATAAATATGATTACCCGGGCTTCATACGGGTAAGATGATTCTGTATCTATTCCATTATTGTCTTTAACATACTGGAATGCACTGTACATCCAGCCTCCAGCACACCCATCGTTGCCTTCAAATAAAAAAAAATTTATGTCAGCAAACCAGCAATAAAACTTTTATAAAACACATCGTTACATTGTATCTTTTTACTTCGATTTAATCATCATGGAGTAGGTTCGCGAGGGTTTAAAAGGTATAATATAAAAAAAATACCGATTCCAAGGAAAATTCAAAACGGAAAGTTCTTTATCAAATTGCAAAATCAAAAGCTCAAACACATCAGACGAATAAAAAACAACTGCGATTTTCCTGACGTGGTACAGGCATTTCTTATGTAGAAAACGGTGGGTTGAACCTAGCTTATTCTCTCACTTGTATGACAGTCGCAAAGAATTAAAATGGGGTGTAAGATTTTATTGTTTTTAATCAGGTCAAAATGCTACATAATTTAACATATACATAGTTGGATATTACTATTTATACACAATGACTTCTCTTTGGCACACTGAAATAAAACGATTTTATGACCCTTCGTTTTGCAAAATTTGTGGTGTAAGTCAGTTTGGTCAAATGATTTTCATCATTTTAGCATTTGTGCAGTTATAAGCAACACAATAACTGAACATGATAATCTCAGATCGCGAACAAGATTTAAAAAAAAATCCTCATATTCGACAACATCTTCAAATATGTGCTGACTTTGGAGACTATAATGTACTCTTTGTAGATATGTGTTTACCTAAAATTATGGTTTTTGAAATAGATTCATGACAACAAAAAAAGTAATATTTTTGATATTTTATTATAAAGTTGAATTTCAAGGTCATATGTTGCAACAATTGAACCTTGTCCTTTTGTCATTTACTACAGTTGACTTAACAGAAGCGATGTCGCACTTGATGTAGTTATCTGGAGTCGATAAACTATAATTTACTTTAACGAATCGAATCGTTGGCATTTAATCGCACGATTAGTAAATACAATGATTAAATTTTGTTGTTTAACTAATTATGTCAGTGTATAAGTTTATCACTGAGTAGATTTAAAATCATATGATTTATTTTTGGTAATAAGCAAGTTTTTCCTACAATGCCTTGTAAATCAAACCCTATATATTACTTTTCTGCTTTAAAATTATAGCCTTCTTCTTATATACCTAGTTTTTGGATGCCAAATATGATTGAATTGTGATAGCTTTAAACATGTTCTTTGAACAAAAACCATGTTTGCATTGCAACAGCAGCCATATTAGATATTTAAATTGTATGATTAACATTTATTACAACCACATGAGGTGGATTAAGTTTGGCGACATACTAAGCATTGTTTACGGTGTTAAATTGAACGACATATTAGACAACATACTAATCATATGATTATTCTTAATCAAATCATAAAGAAGTTTTAACGACCCGTTGAACAACAGACCCCAGTATTATAACACATTTGGAATTGACGTTGGAACAATAGTCAACTTGTTTTGTTTTTTTCGATGACCAGAGAAAATCCTATAACTCAAATGTTAAATATGCTCGATCACCTATTACAAATGCGTTATACGAATGACTTAAAGGTACGATACATAACCAAACTATAACTCAACTCGAATGTCCTTTCCAATGAATGCATTTCAAAGTAGTATCCACTTGTGTAATTGGTATTTTTATTCCTTATGTCCAGTGGCAAATGTTCTATGTATATTCAGAATGAAAATAAATTAACAATAAATCTAAGAGGTAAGGTCTTGTTAGTATTAACCGGGGTGACTGTTAGAAGCGATGCTTGCCAATGAGAAATGAGGTTATGACGGATATTGATCAACATTTTGCTATGTAACACGGACAAGTTCCTGTAAGATTTCTTTATCGTGTATAGAGTGTGGCACTCTCCTTACACGAGGCATCACAATAAATATTTAAAATCCGACAGAATGCAGCCAAAACGGACGCCCCATTTAACATTTTAGGAATAAAGACTTCCATGGATTACCATAGTAACCATTTGCATACCTCAAGCATCCGTTGGGGAGTACTCAATGTAAAATAACGAAGACAGTTTACATTAAAAACATGTGAGGTTACACTATAATTTCAAAATTATGTTTCTTTTTTATGAACTCAAATATTTGGCAAAGCTTACAATTCTTATCATGTTACTGATGCAACAGCGTTATTTTCTCCATATTGCATTTTCGGGTTTTGTTTTTCTTAGCGGGGGTGCTTATCATTTATCTATTTGTTGACTTGAGTATCAACATGTATATTACAAATATGCCTGATATTTACCATACTTAAAAGTACAATCTACGAGATTCTGTTCTGATAAAGAAACCAAATTCCCTGTTTTCCTGAAATGTTGACCCTCCAGGGCACCAGTGGAAGAAAATGACCAGCATGATCCACATTGTCCCTGAATAGAATGAAATGTTTTATATTTTTTAAATTTATACCGTATGACCTCTATGGTATGATGGCGGTCAACTTGACATGTGTCCTTCAAACAACTTCCTCGACATTAGCAAATATTTTTTTTTTGTTGTATCTGCATTTTTTATGAAAGATTCCTTTTGGAAAAAACATAATAAATCCATTTCCAACGTTTTTGTAAATAACTAACGTGGAATAATTTTCTACAAAATTTCAATGAATATCTTCAGACATTAGCTCACTCGGAGATGCATGAATCTTATTATAAGACATCATGTAAACGTAATACAGTACGACAGCTTAACAATTCAAAATTGTCTACTCAAGCTCCTACTACATTTTTAATCCTCTCAATGATTATATATCCATATTGATAAGTAATTATTCTTTCAAAAATAAGCATTTTGTTAAAAGCAAAAGCATATTGGCGTGTTAGAAACATCTAAGCAACACTAACCAGAAATAAAGGCAATTGTGGTATACAGATGTTCAGAAAAGTATCTGTGTCCCCAAATACAATACTTTACACAATACACGAAGCTTAAATAGGCCCGCTTAAGGTAATGTACTTGATCATGTTGATAACTGTATAGCTTTTACTATTCTTTATGTTAGATTTGAAAATTATCCGAACATCTCTTATTCCGACCATATTATGTAATCAAGATTATATTTGTATGTAGTTCAGGATTTCGAAGGACGGATATTTTTCTGAAGTTGTAATTTTAATCGGAAAACTGATTCTGATTAAGAATGTTTGTATCTATCTTGGATTACCATAAAACATCAACTCTATTGTTTGCTTTTCTCAGATTAGAAGATTTAAACAAAAATTATGGCAGTTTGGGGAAAAAGAAAAGGAAAACGAGAAACACATAAAACAAGTCTGAGAAAGAATAAGTATACCGACCTGATCTTTGACAGTAGTAACATAGCCTTGCTGTCGCCAGTCAACTTCTTCGGGAATTTGGACATTATTTGGCGGGAGATATGTAGAGCCACCGTTTATGACATCGTTTGACCTTTTGTATCCTTTCATTTTCTGAGTCACTTCTATCTCTGACTGAAATTGAAGAATAAAATTTGACGTGAATTTTTAGTTAAAGAAGATCATCAAACTAAAATAGACTGTCGTGTTTTCATCAACACTCAATTTTTGTGTTAACGCATATATAATTAAATAAGTCTTTTTAACGCACTTTTTTTTTAAAACTGAAGTTGATGTTGTTTCTCTTCGATTGATTACAAGAAATTGTTCTGATTCAATATTCTGAATAAGTCATGGTAACGACGAAATAATACTCGTAAGTTTTCTCACTGACGATATCTTCACGTAACGTTCTATTGTTAGTCGAGTTTGTGCATTTTTACAGTATAACAAACAATGTTTGGTAATCAATGCATATTCTGACTTAATCAAACGTTTAAATTCACATTCAAATTGGCGCTTTCAATTCACTTACCATGTCAGCAAAATGATTAATTCCAAGCCAGTAGCTATGTTCTCCACGATCTGCTGCCATATTGTGATGCTCGATAAAACGGACATTGTCTTCCCAGATCACTCGTCTAATAAAACGTAACAACTTTAGTCATATTTCATCTTTAATCAATTTTTTATTGAGTAGTAGCTGATTTGAATAGTAAGACAATGTACCTGTACACATTTCTGTGGCCCAACACAAATGATATATGGTTAAAATTTGGTCACGACGTACTAAAACAAAAGGTACACATGCTCATAAAGAAGAAGAGATTTGATATAATATTCAACAGTGTTATAACAAAACCCAAATAAAAATTGCTCAAAACATATGCATAACTGTTTATATATCAAGACACATAAAGTCTAATAACGTCATATATAGAATGAAAATGGAGCCAATCCTTGCTATTTATCAGGAAGTTTTTAAATATTATAGATGGTGAACTATATATAAAACATTAATAAAGAGTGACCTAACTATATAATGCTAACACTTAACAGAGGTCTTTTGAAGACATTTAATGATGTGTCTTCTATTCGATCAAAGTAACCCCTATCGTGTATTGCCTCATTGACACACATTCTACAGTTCATTATTGCAATATCATGTTTTAAGTATTCATAAAGTTAAATAAACATTAAAGGACATTGGTTTATGACATATTTCTTGTCTTAAACATAGAAAACTCAGCACTACATTGTGGATATTCGAAAAACTAAAAGCTTACCTTTGCAATTCTTCATTGTTATCTTTATATATTTTATTATATGATTTCTTGTATGATTCCCATTCATTATTCAAACGAATTGATGTGAATTTCAGAGATAAAGAAACTATATTACCAACAAACAATGATGACAGTATGGCGTAAAACTGAAATAAAAACAATTTGAATTTGGTAAGACGAAAACAAACATTAAGCCCTTTTCAACTGATATTTATAGTTTGTTCTTATGTTTTACTTTTACATCACTGTCCCAGGTTATGTATTAGGGGAGGGTTGGTGCCTTCAAACATGTTTAGCCCCGCCTAATTCTGTATGTGCCTGTCCTAAGTCAGGAGCCTGTAATTTTGTGGTTGTCATTGGTTCATGTCTGTCATATTTGTTTTTCGTTAGAAGTTTTGTTATTAACTAGGCCGTAAATTTTCTCGATTGAATTTACTCATATTATTCATGTAGGGGCCTTATATAACCGACCTTACGATATGGTTTTTTTCTCATTGTTGAAGGCTGTACGGTTGCCTATAATTGTTACATTCACTTCATTTGAACTTTAGTGGATAGGTGTCTCTTTGACAATCACACCACATCTCCTTGTTTTTACACAATTTAACAAATGTGTTTCCGTTTATTTAACAGAAAACAGTTATGACCTTTCTGTGTTTTTACAATTTCTAAATATTTGTCAAAAATGAACAATTGTATGTAAAAATGGATTTAAACAATAGATTGTCTTTTGAAATGGTCAACAAAAACAAAATACTAGTATTTTTAAATGACGAATTCATTGACAAAATATTGTTTAACAACTGTAAGTGCCATACGTTCAAGGTCAAGCTTTCGAACATGGTTAACCATTAACACCACGTGTATGTTTCCTGTCACAAGACAATTTTTATTTAGTCAAAACACACTAGTATTATGTATATCTGTGATGCCACGTGAGCATGACCGTACAATTATCAAACATCACAATAAAACTGTGTCTTCAGCTCTTTATATTTGTTAACTTTCTTAATCTTGAGTTCGGTTAGAAATTTCACACATATTTTAAAAAGACATATAAAAAACAACTCATAAACTTAATAACTCTTGGAAACTAGTGAATACGTACCATATTTATTAGTTTTGAGGTTCATCTTTACGGGTTTTTTAATCAAAATAAACCTTCCCAAATTCGCTGCTTGATAGTTTTAAGAATGTATATAGAACGCCAAAGAAGTAAATTGTTCAATTGTTATTAACTTAACTTCCACTGGCAAATATTTTATGCATAAGAAGGACGAGAACAAATTAACGATACGTTCAGTTGTAGTTTGAACAATGAGTCGAAAGGAGGATATTTAAAGAGCCACAGGAAAATGAAGATGTGTTGTTAAGGACATACATTTTGCCCTGCAACCGGCCATCTACGGAACCTTTAGAGAGTTGCTGAAAGGTTTCGTAAATGTGCAGAGAGTGAGAGAGAAAATTATCTATATACACGAGGCGAATTTGACGTCTTTATTCCTACTAGACGTGGCTGTAAATTAGGGAATCCCATATAGCTAATCCATTCTAAACGGGGGCTTTTTTTTACCAGACCTCTTACTGTCGGATGGTAGGTAGAAGACCAAGTGTGACCGTATGTTTCTATGTAGTCAACCGCAGTCAAACCTTGCAGTGCCTGCAGAAAGATGCAATATTTACATCTAAGAATAAAACACATAAATGAAAATGGTCAAAGTTGCATGTTGACTGAAGTTTTTGTGTAAAATTACAAAATGTATAAGTTAATATTGTTGCTGTAGTATATTCAATACATACCTGCATTTTGTAACTGTAGTATCAATGGAAGAAATACTTCAAATTCAGTTTCACGACGGATTAAGAAAAACCCGATTGTGTTGACTCACTTTCTCGTGATGCCTTCAACTTCCTAGTTAAAAATAAACCGTAAATACCTGAACTTTAAACTTATTCCGATCGATTGAATAACACACTTAAGTCTTTTGAAGAGGTTTTTACAATGGGTTTATTTAGAATCATTGTTATATTATTATACATTAGGTTTTAGTGTTACAAATAGTACACGCACTACACTACTATTAAATATAATACATTTACACATGTTCCAATTCTTAAAGCAAATATGAAATCAAATTGTCCTACATTAGTACATTTGAAAACCGACCATTGTTTATCAAAGTAGATTGCATTAGCGATTTCATAACAACTAAGGGGAGACATAATCTCTTGCAATGCTAAGATAAAACGTAACGAATTTTCTTTTGACAGAAGGGACACGTTAATTACTTTAAATTAATCACAAACTGGTGTTTACCCCCTGCATCCCCCAATGGAATGAAATAAACAAAAACATCGTGCGTATTGATTAAACAACAACTGTTACAGTATAATAATGACTAAGGTTCATTCAGTCAAATCGAAATTGTTATAATTAGTTTATATTATAACTGTAAACACCAAGTGCAATACAATTTGTTAATAAATTTCTCAAGTAGATTATTACTTCCTTAATAAATCTATTTTTGTAATATATTTGGTAAACGTGATATCTAAATTTCTTGTAATTATCATTGAAGTATTCAGATATATGTTTTGGCAAAGATGCTCGTTAATAACCAAATAAATTGATTGATTGAGTGTCGTTTGGTTATCGTTACGTGGCAAATATTTCATGCATTTTATGGACGAGAACAAACTTACATTTAAGACAATTTGTAAGATTAACAAGTTAATGTGTGGATCGACCTGAACGTATTTGTTGACTGCTCTTGACAAATTATCGTTTACATGTAAAATAAAGGGGGGCTATGATATTACTTTCGTTTTATTCTAACACAAAATATCCTGTTACAGGAATAACAACATGATAATTAATTATATTATTGTTGGTAATTAAATGACAAATGATTTTAAAATAAGAAAGTTCATGTGTTTCTCAGACTATTGATGACGCCATAAAACTAAATCAATTTGATATGAACTGATTGATATCTTACTCACGGAAAATATGGTTCATTTATTAGTTGGAGTTTGCTATGAACTAGGTACTCTGATATCGATACTTTGTGATTGTTTGTTTTCTTTTTCGCAGTGCTGATCTGATGAATTAATGATTTATTCTTATGTTGTGCTGTCACACATATATCCCAGTCTTGGGTAGGGTTTATAGCTAAAACACATTTTGAACCTGCCCCATTCTTTGTGTGTACGTGCTAACCTTATATAGCTCAGTGTACGTTATAGGCTAACTCATTGTCAAAGGTAGCACAGGGCCATAAAGTTGTTATCACCCAAGTCATAAGGTCCCTGATGGCCAGTTGTCTCTTCAGCAATCTTACTAGAACAAAATTTCATGCTAGTTAAAATTGATTCCAGGTTGTTAACAAACAATATGCCGTTTAAAAATCTGAAGGTATTGTACAAAATATCTAACAAAAGATCTACGTTATGTCTTTATAAAGAATATCCATAAACTTTTGGAGCGGAAGAAGTACAAAGCTGCACAATAAGATGTACTGGTAGTCATTATAACAATATGTTATATCCAAAACGAACATAATATTTACAGGAAAACACATGAGTAACACACACTGACCCTTTATTAAATACAGCTGTTCCAGTGCTTGCAAAGAAGTTTTTACAGTTTAGGAATAATTATTTCGCTGTATTTTATTGTTGTTCACAACATATCATCACTCATTTCTTAATTGTCGTAAGAGAACAGAAATATTATGTGGATTGGCCGAAATGAAAAATAAAATATAATGGAAAGGTTCCGTGTGTGATTAAAAGAAATGAATACTATGTGTATGTTCAGTACAAGCATTCTATGCCTCTTCAATCTCCCTCTTACTTTTGGCCCACATGTTATTCGGTTATGTGTGTCGTTTTTTGTCGTTTTTTTCCCCTTTGGAGTGGTGTTTTGGAACTTTGTTCTGCCCTCTGATATAATGTTTTTATAATATATGTTGTTCTTTTTATATATAATTTAGTTTACACACTATCCTCTGTTCCTGAGGTATGTCTTATTTTTATCACAAAAAGTAATGCAAATGAAGTAGACTTTGCAATACTAGTGTTAGGCATGATTCTTCTGAAAATTGCAAATATAAACGTCCGTTTTCGGGATTCTGGGGGTTTAAACACCTTTGCCACAGACAAACCTTATCCTTCTGATAAAAGTTTTGTCAGGATATACGCTAGAATCATATGTAAGACATATTACTGATTAATTAATTAATTACAGAGCAACACAATGTTAGCAGAAATATTTATTATACATATATCTAAGAATTACACGTGTGGCTAATTGTTGTAATAGTTAAGGTTGATATTCATGATGCATAAGGGTGTAGTCAGAAATGTAATTTGATGAAACGTTGTAAAAACGTAAGGAGACAGTTGTGTAAGAACATCTGCTGCTTCTAATAACTACAGCTTGATTTAAAATATCTGATTGTTTGGAAATTGCGTTAAATATTATCACATTTTTAAAATTAAATGTGAGGATCTCATTAGATTGTACATGCTAAGTACCATGTGTCGTTTACTCTCTTTCGTTAATTGCAATTAACCTGAAATGTATGAAACAACAACATTTGCTTAAGACATTGGGTTGGTAAGGCAATAATTATAGTTTTATCATTTACTCCCAATATATTACATACGTAATCAAATATCATTATAACGATTATGTGACCTTTATTCCGTCTACAAATTTGAGTATTTAATTGAACAAGTGTGAAGTGGCATTTATTCTATCTTCATCAGAATCTTTATTCTTTGACATATGTTTTATTATAAAAACAGTTTTATATTGGTCTTTTGAAATATCTTACAAACAGTCTACACAATGTATGTCATAAATTTATTGTAACGTTAATTAAAATATAAATAAATAACAATTAGTCTTTGTACCAATAGTTGGGGTCATAAAAGACAGATATCTTGAACTGTTTCCAGGTTAATATTCAAATAACTAGATGTGTAATGATTGCCAGTGAGACAAATATCCACGAAAGACGAACCGACATGGATGTTGACACATAGAAGTCATCGATGGGCATACAAAAAACAGGCTATCAAATACCTTATTTTGAATTCTTAAAGGTCCTAGGATGACACAGTACTAAATAATTAAAATTGAAAACGAACGGCCTGAATAATTACAAAAACAATAAAAGCAACGGAGAGCGACCATCGACGCATGCTGGAGTACTAGATGAACTTACTCACAGAAAATATGGTTCATTTATTAGTTGGAGTTTGCTATGAACTAGGTACTCTGATATCGATACTTTGTGATTGTTTGTTTTCTTTTTCGCAGTGCTGATCTGATGAATTAATGATTTATTCTTATGTTGTGCTGTCACACATATATCCCAGTCTTTGGTAGGGTTTATAGCTAAAACACATTTTAAACCTGCCCCATTCTTTGTGTGTACGTGCTAACCTTATATAGCTCAGTGTACGTTATAGACTAACTCATTGTCAAAGGTAGCACAGGGCCATAAAGTTGTTATCACCCACGTTATAAGGTCCCTGATGGCCAGTTGTCTCTTCAGCAATCTTACTAGAACAAAATTTCATGCTAGTCAAAATTGATTCCAGGTTGTTAACAAATAATATGCCGTTTAAAATTCTGAAGGTATTGTACAAAATATCTAACAAAAGATCTACGTTATGTCTTTATAAAGAATATCCATAAACTTTTGGAGCGGAAGAAGTACAAAACTGCAAAATGAGATGTACTGGTAGTCATTATAACAATACGTTACATCCAAAACGAACATAATATTTACAGGAAAACACATGAGTAACACACACTGACCCTTAAAAAAATACAGCTGTTCCAGTGCTTGCAAAGAAGTTTTTACAGTTTAGGAATAATTATTTCGCTGTATTTTATTGTTGTTCACAACATATCATCACTCATTTCTTAATTGTCGTAAGAGAACAGAAATATTATGTGGATTGGCCGAGATGAAAAATAAAATATAATGGAAAGGTTCCGTGTGTGATTAAAAGAAATGAATACTATGTATATGTTCAGTACAAGCATTCTATGCCTCTACAATCTCCCTCTTACTTTTGGCCCACATGTTATTCGGTTATGTGTGTCGTTTTTTGTCGTTTTTTTTCCCCTTTGGAGTGGTGTTTTGGAACTTTGTTCTGCCCTCTGATATAATGTTTTTATAATATATGTTGTTCTTTTTATATATAATTTAGTTTACACACTATCCTCTGTTCCCATGGTTCCTGAGGTATGTTTTATTTTTATCACAAAATGTAATGCAAATGAAGTAGACTTTGCAATACTAGTTCTAGGCATGATTCTTCTGAAAAATGCAAATATAAACGTCCGTTTTCGGGATTCTGGGGTTTAAACACCTTTGCAACAGACAAACCTTATCCTTCTGATAAAAGTTTTGTCAGGATATACGCTAGAATCATATGTAAGACATATTACTGATTAATTATTTAATTACAGAGCAACACAATGTTAGCAGAAATATTTATTATACATATATCTAAGAATTACACGTGTGGCTAATTGTTGTAATAGTTAAGGTTGATATTCATGATGCATAAGGGTGTAGTCAGAAATGTAATTTGATGAAAAGTTGTAAAAACGTAAATACACAGTTGTGCAAGAACATCTGCTGCTTCTAATAACTACAGCTTGATTTAAAATATCTGATTGTTTTGAAATTGCGTTAAATATTATCACATTTTTTAAATTAAATGTGAGGATCTCATTAGATTGTACATGCTAAGTACCATGCGTCGTTTACTCTCTTTCGTTAATTGCAATAAACCTGAAATGTATGAAACAACAACATTTGCTTTAGACATTGGGTTGGTAAGGCAATAATTATAGTTTTATCATTTACTCCCAATATATTACATACGTAATCAAATATCATTATAACGATTATGTGACCTTTATTCCGTCT